GCATGCAGCAATTGTTACACTGACTTTAAAAAAAGATACCCACAGATGAGCGTGGAAGGGACACACTTTGATTCTACAACTGTTACTTATGTCCTGACTATGAAGATGTCGAGTTAGGAGCATACACACTGTACCAATTAGGAGATCAAAGAGCTTGTTCATATATATACAGACACACAAACATATACTCAGAAGCAAGTCCTGCTGAGGACAATGAGGCCAGTTGTGTACAATTTGGAAGCAAGTTACAAACAAAATGGGTTTTACTTCCAAGTAAATGTGCATAGGCCTAAGCTGTGGCCATGGCCTGTTCTCACTGAGATGGAAAATGTGTATCTGGGCTGGACCATTTCAGCCAGCAGGAATGAAGTAGCTCATATGGTTGAACTGTCCACTTATTCAATGATTTATTTATTGTATTTCCTTTATATATTATATTTCCTTCCAAGGAACGAGACAGATTATATAATTCTCCCCTTCCTCTCAATCTAATCCTCACAACAAGAATCCTGGGAGGACAGCTTGGGCTGAGAGTCTGTGACTGGCCCAAAGTCATCCGGTGAGGTCCATGGCTGACTGGGGCCTAGAAGCCAGTTCCACACTCTTAACTACTACTCTATGTTGGCTAATAACAAGGAAGACCCTCCTCCACAAAATGAAATAGCACATGAGGCATAAAGCTAGTCTTCAGCTTTTCCCCAGGTCATGCTATCTGTGAATTTTTTAAAAATACAGTTGTTATGTGAACCAGCCTGCCTCAGTTGTCTGTGGCAATACAGTCCAGACACAGATTTTACCACCACAGGTTTTAACTAGGCCTCCAAGGAAGGAGGCCTTGAATGTTGCTTGTGCTGTTTCCAGGCTTAATGGAAACACTGTAGAATAAGACCACTCCTTCTGCTCTTTTTTGTCAAGTACATTTTATCCCATCCATCCAGTAATTATTTACAATGATGACAGGCAACCCTGGGACTTGGGCTTTAGTACAGAGAATATATTCTTCTGTGGTTTCAGCTGGTTCAGAGCTCCTTCCACTTGCCTCCATCACCAGTGCCTCCTCACTGGTGCAGTCCACATCTGAGAAAAAAAACCCTGCTCATGTATTTTCTTTGCCACTGATTGTTCCTTGACTAATGCCATTTTCTAAGTATTGGCTGGAGGAATCCACGCTCCTGCTTAGCACTGCGGAGGGGACCCTGGAAGACCGGCGCTCCTGGTTTCTTTCCTCAAAAGAGCAGCAGATCATGCGTCTCATGGTGCTTGACATCTCGTCATCTTTGTAAGAATAAATGATTGGATTCATGACTGAGTTCAGCAGGGCTAGGAGAAGAAACCACCTTTTCACATTCTGAACCTCACAGCGAGTACAATTCAAGCCATCAAGAAGCAAAACAACAAGACCAGGAGTCCAGCATACCACAAAGGCACCTATCAGAGAGAAAAAGAGAAAAAATAAAGATTATTCAGGTGGGAGTAGCAAAAACTATACACCTGAAATTATAAACATAGAACAGACAGAGATAACGCCTGCACTCATGCTGTGCACGATTCACCTATGGAACTTGAAGGTGCTACAGAAGCTGGCTTGAATTTTCCCTCTTTTTATACATCCTTTACACAACACATGCATTTAAGCAGTGCACAAGCATTCCAGCATTGGTCACCATTTTGCTGTGGTTCCACAGGGGCTGGGACAGCAAAGAGGCCTCAGAGATGCAGGAGAGGGTGTTGTGCCCAGATTCCACATTTGCAACCATCGGTCACAAAAGTAGCCAGGAAGAGGTCTGCGTTCTTTTGAATCTTCTTCCTTCAAAATACTCTCCCAGTGTTCCCAAAGCTGGGAACCTCATCTGGGTGACCCTGAAGGCCACAAGAGATGTTTTATGTCCTCAGTAGACAGAAGATTACAATAAAACAAAAATGTCACTGTGAGGACAACATAAGTCAAATAGGGTCCTCCTCTCTGATGTGGTGACTAACTGGCATGTTTGCTTCTGGTAGTTTCTGCCAAGGTCCCTCGTGGTGCTCTAAGGACAAGGGCCAGTGAATTTCTTCATCTTCTCAGAGCTTGCTGGCAACAGTCACTGGCTCCATCATGCAAGATTTAAACAGGGAAGTGTGAGAATGAAAGGGAAGGAAAATTAAATAACAAGGAGGAAAAGAAAGAAGAAATAGGGGTAGGAGAAAAAACATACCAATACATATTTCCCACTTAAGAAATAGTTGATGGGGCAGCTGATCCTAGGTTTCTTTGTGAGAATATGGCAGAATGGTTCAAGTGGTTGGAATCTAGCTAAGCTGTCATGGCCTTTATTTGACCATAAAATTCCCAGAATGTCTTCCCAATCAAAAAGTAAAACACAGCAAACACAAATAGATAATTTCAGAACAGCTAAACTGTAGCCCTCCCCAATACACAGTGCTGCCAGCATGGATACTGTGTGTGTGTGTGTGTGTGTGTGTGTGTGTGTGTGTGTGTGTGTATTTATTACATTTGTATACCGCCCCATAGCCCAGGGGCTCTCTGGGCTTTGTGATTCATGGTGCAAAACAAGAGAGAGAGAGAGAGAGAGAAAGAAGCTCCTTGCAAACCAGAATGTGCTTAGCTCAAACCGCAATTGCTGCCTATTTTATAAAAATAGAAAAATTATAGCCCTGCACAAAGAAGGCAGGCTGTAGAAGACACACAGAGGAAATGCTTCTCATTGATTTTCCCCCTGCTTCATGTCAAAGCTTACATTTTGGGAATACTTTTTTCCCTCTCCCCTAAAGTCTACAAATAAGTAAGTATTTCAGCAAGAATGCCTGTGCCACAAGGAAGCACTCTTCTGGTGGTCTAGTATTCTTTAACCAGCCCAGGTTTAAAAATAAATTATTCAAGTATCTTCCTAAAGTTTCATCTTGCATTATATATACTAAGTCAATACAGTACAGTAAAAACTAGTTTAAATGGAACATGGGACAGGAATGAGAGTTCAAATCCTCCTTTGGTGGTCATCTTGCCATTCAGCTTTGAGAAGCCCTTCCATTCCCTAACTGCAAAATGGGAAGAATCCAGCTCAACTAGGTGAGCAGGATGACCTGCTTTTTTCCCATGGGGTTACATTCCTGCTTCACGAGCTCAGAATTTAGTATGTGGTGGTATCAAATAATTCTCAGAAATCTTACTCTGTAGGGTTTACATGAGTGAAGAGCCAAAGCACATCCCATTTTAGATGTTGTTGGGTGTTCCCATAAGCAACAACTGCATTATATGCTGTCTTTGGGCTTCCCTACTTGCAGCTTTTAACATGCTACTTTACTGAGGCTTCTTCTTTTGTTTTTGTTGCAGAATGAACAGCATGTTTTTTGCTGGGCTTTTTCCTTCTCTGCTTTTCTACTTACAAAACCACAAGGAGGGACCATCATATAGCTGTCATATAGCAGAATTACTATTAGGAAATAGTAACTACTATTAGGAAATAATAACATTTTTTCATTCTAAAAAAGCCACAAAAATGACTGCAAAACATAGGAGAGACCTGAGAGAATGACAATGTTGCATAAAGCTCCCACAAACTACCCTGAATGAGGAATTACAAGTGCACAGTGAATGTCTTGTGCAGAGAAACTGCGTACAGTCTAGGCCACAGATGGGCTGGCCATTAGTTTCAGGGGGGACTGCCTTCAGTAAACGTTCATATTCATCATTTTACTGTGATGGCTGACTTGGTGTTTCAGCTGATCCATTCCAGGAAAACCCAAACTGCTAAGAGCAAGAAAAGAATGAAGGAAACAAACAAAAAAAGACTTCCTCAAATTGCAGCCACTACAGTGAACTGCAGAAGACAACTGGTTTTGCAGCTACAGAAATGTGAGTTTCCTTTGTACTACAACAAATGGCACAAATGAATACACACACACACACGCGCACCCATGCACATGCGCCACAGTGGCGTGGATGGAAGCTTGTACATAGGTAATGGGACAAGTGGTGGCTCAACCCTGGTCTAATACATGCAGATGGCACTAATCTGTGATGCTGGGTTAAAAGAACAAGCGGAAGTAAGGGTGGCCTACAGCACTCATCATGCGTTAAGAGTGTCCAACACCATTGCATCTCTTTTTCTTCAGATCAGAACAATTTGTCCTGTTACTCCCTCAGAATCTGAATGAATTTAAGGCTTGGACAAAAGCCAGGAACCAAAGGATCAGCCCAGGAAGACTTGAGATGATCAGATAAGAAAAGGCAACAGCTGTGGGGAAGAGTGCTAGGCTGACAAGGCAGTTAAGTCACTGCTACTGCCACATCATAAATGCAACATTAGGCGCACTCAACAGGCTGAACAGGGACATCTGCATTACCAACTGCCTGATTGTTTTAACTGGAAAAATTGAGGGACGGAAACTGGAAACTTCTGTATGCAAAACATGAGCTCTGGTGTGTGCCCCCTCTATCCCGGATTTCACTGTAGTCTCCCTCAGTTCCACTAGCATACAAAATCCCATCTCTCTGAAAGATCCACTTTTTTCTAACCATTCTGCACTGCTTTGCCAGTGAATTCTCCAGAAACTTCATATAGTTTACATACTTTAAAAGCATGTTTTAATAGCATTTATGGTGCAAATCAGCATGGCTGCTCAGGACCCTCCAAAGTTGGAGGATCCAAACATCCTTTCAAAGGTTTACTGTGCTCCCTGAGATAATCCTGAGATAGCTCATTTCAGTTGTCTAAGTCTTCTGTCCCAGTGCATGAAGGGCAGAATGAGGCACTGCCAGAATACTACATAGTGTGGTAGAGCTGGACTCCTCTCCTTCCAGCCCTATAGGACACCCACACACCCACTGGCTCCAAGCTCAGTCTTCTAACCTCAGAGCTGCAGCTGGTGCCCTACTTTCCATGCAGGCTGTGAGGGCAGAGGGAGGTTGCTCCGAAGTCAGAGGCCCACTGCCAACCTTGGAGCATGTTTCTAAGGTATGAGCTTGTATTCCAACCTCTCCCATGCCTGCCCAGCCTTTGTCTAGCAGCTGAGAATGTGCACCTTTAATGACGCATTTTTAAACAGTTATTCAGATCCCTTGTGCAATGATCAGAGTTGCAATATAAGCTATGGAGATGTATATGGAGTTGCATGTTGTTATTAAAAAGTAACATTTCTGCTCAAATGCAGACAAGTTAGGACAGAGCCCCCAAGCACTCTTCAACTTAGCAAATCAAAAGTTGTGTGCTAACTTGTCTAGAATGCTATTAAAGGCTTGTTTTGCTTATTTAGCCAGGTGCTTCTGCAACAGGGATCCATAAGCAGTGAGCCTTCTCAAACATGAAGAAAAGTATTACTGGACTAAAGGCTCATCTAGAGCACACCAGCCAGAGACCTGGTGAAGCTTGCATTTCATGCAAGGCCATGAAAGTCACAGATACTCCCCTATTAGTCCTCAGCATCCTGCATTCAGAAGTCTATTGCTCTGCACATTAGGTTTCCTTTGAGTTATGTTAGCTAAGTGGAGCTTCCCTTCATCAAGACATCTGCCATTTCTTCTGCTAGTGATTTTTAAATAATAAATAAATAAATACTTTATTTGCATTAGCCATACACCTTTGCAGGTGATGTTCAGCGAGCATGAAAACTGTGAAGCAGGATGAAGAGCATTTTCCATGCACAAGATGATGGAGGTAGTAGCAGGCTCTGGAAAACCTTGGAGTCCACAGAAATCCTTCCCCTTCAACAATAACAGCAACCCCTTTTGTTCTTGTCCTAAAAGTGTGCATTGGGGTGAGGGTAGCAATCCAAAACAAATGAAAAATGCTATATGGCAACAGAAAGCTGAGCATCTGTTTGGGGTTGGGTGGGGAAGAGGACAGATAACCAAGGAGGAGCTAGAATAGAGTAAGCTGGGAGAGAAGGTGTGACTGGCAGTCTGAACGGAAACAGTCAGCACCGTAATATTTTAGCCCAGACCCATTTGTCAATTCATAGTTCCTTCCTAAAGCTACCTAGGCTTGGGATTCATTGCCATATCAGGTCATGGCAAACTTCACAAGCCACTAATGCACTGTGACTAATGCTCTAAAGACTGCATTTTCTTAGTTTCTAGAAGTGTAACAGCCAGGCCAGACTGTCACAGCAAAAAACCCACCAAAGCATCTTGTGATCCTCCACCCCAACCTTGTGTATATATCCAAATCTAAATAAAATTTATTACACACTCAGTTAGAGGCTATATCTGAAAAGGAAATTTACAGCCAAAGAAATCAAACATTTACAATAGCAAGATCATGTACAAGAGCCAAGTCCTCAACAAAAAAAAAATTAACCTCACATGCTTGCCAGAGTTGGGAAACTTTTACAACAAATTTGATTGCAATAAGAATAACAGGTGCTTAGAGTACTCTTGTCCATTTTCTCAGCCATTAACCGGCAGTCAACTGGGGGACAGGGTGGGGCAGAGGCAAATTCTGTAATTCTAAGAAAATGGTTTAAAATATAGTTAAGTGATTTATAAATCACATACCATGCTCTCTTTCCCTTAGTCATCATTTCCCCCCTTAAACTATAAATGTTTGCTCATTTTGTATAGACTAGATTTTTATCTGCTTACTAGAAAAAAGGTTCTTTTGACCAACCTTTCACACACATCTAGTACTGCATGACTTGGCCACAGACACTCCACAGGACAAGGGTAGCCCTTGTTCCTATACTTGCTGGCTCTCCTTTAGTGCCTCATTGGTTTAACCAATAGTTTA